AGGGGGGACATGATAGCAGTGTTCCAATATCTCAGGGGCTGCCACAAAGAAGAGGGAGTCAAGCTATTCTCCAAAGCACCTGAAGGCAGGACAAGAAGCAATGGATGGAAACTAACCAAAGAGAGAATCAGCCTAGAACTAAGGAGAAATTTTCTGACAGTTGGAACAATTAACCAGTGGAACAACCTGCCTCCAGAAGGGGTGAATGTTTCAACACTGGAGGTTTTTAAGAAAGACTGGACAGCCATTTGTCTGAAATGGTATAGGGTTTCCTGCCTGAGCAGGGGGTTGGACTCGATGACCTCCAAGGTCCCTTCCAACTTTATTATTATTATTATTATTATTATTATTATTATTATTATTATTATTATTATTATTATTATTATTATTATTATTATTAACCTCTGTATATGTCAAAAAACCCGTATCTGCTCTGCCCCAATGCTTTTACAGAGGAATTGATCACTCTCCAAATGTATTGGGGAGATCATGTCACAGAATGCAATCAGTGTTTAGCTGCTCAATTATTTTACATTTACACTGCACTGTGGATTCTGTAGTAACTTTCCTCACATCAGTCAGTATGATTTATATGAAACAGTCACATAATTAAGTACGGTCAGGCAAAAGCAACTACAAGGACTCCTGGAGAGTTTCAACAGGAGTTTTATTCCTAGTTGTCTATGTTACACAAAACTCACTATACTGTATGCTTTCCCTTGGGAACAGCAAGATAAGGCTTTAAGGATTCTGGGGGAGGTCAGACCTGTGCTGCTTCCTGTAGCGCAATAACTCCAAACTCAGTCCCCACTTAACACCTCCTTCCAGTCTAAGTGGAGATTCCACCACAGAGTTTATGATAACAAAGATCAGTCGGACTCAGATTTTTTTTAGAGATGAACTTTGATATCCCTAATTTATACTTCCACTTGATAAAAAGCATCCATGAAAGAGACCTAAAACAAGATGGATTGACGACATCAGCAAGTATTGTGGACCCAATTGGTAAAAGAAACCTCAGGACTGTATAGGTTGGAAACATGAGAAAGAGATCTTAATTCGGCAGTGGATAGACAATGACTTAAATTATGATGATGATGCATTTATACTTGTGTATAATTTTCTTTGCATAAATGACATTAACTTCCTTTTATTTTAATATGATTAAAGAGGATGGAAAAAATGCCTTCCAGAAGAATTATAAAAACACACCTCATCCCTCAAAAGTTGCCCAAGTCTATTTTTGAAAAAAAGGCAAAAGTAAGTAGCTTAATTCTCAATTTTGATTTTCCATATCATTGCTATATATATATGTCATCTATCAATGAAGTGTTGTCGAATAAATTTACAGAGTAAAATAGGACAGCAAGCCCAAGA